GTAAATAAATTACATTATTAACAAGTTGTGGGAAAATGAGAAAACATTGTATTATTATCAAATTTTAAAACTATATACGATAATAAGTTTTGATTTCTCGTCTGTTATAAAAAAATTTTGCGATATCCAACAATGGTAAGAATGTATGAACGTTTTATTTATTAAATTTTATATCGTACAAAAGATGACTAAACATTTATTAAATTTCTTATATTATTATTTAGAGAGGCCTGAGGCAGATCCATTTCCACTTCTACCATATCCCGCTAACAAAACTTTTGGAAGAGAATCAACTAGAAAAAAGAACCTAAAAGAGCGCAAAATTTTTTTTAAAAATAGAAATCATTCAGTCACTGTGCCTCGAAGCAATCCAATAATAATATTAAGAATAAGAAAATTCTATCTTGCGACTCAACCTAAAAGAAATTACCAAAAAAAAAAAATTTCTATTAATAAGATAAATTAAAAATAAAACTTATGTGGCAAGAGTCGTCTAATTACCTAAAATGAAATATTAAATAAAATAAAAAAAATAATAACAAATTAAACTGTTAACTTTCGCAAATTTGTTAAATTGAAATAAATCCAACCATCGAAATCCGTCGTAATTTTCAAGATTATCTTTGAAAAGTTTTGAAAAACAAAAAATAATTTTTTTTTCTATATATTAAGCTGATTGCATAAAGCATAAAGCTATAAAAATGACAGAAACGTCTAATCTATATTTGGTAATAGATCTAACCATAAATTGGAATTTTGATTAGTATGATCGTCAAAAAATTATTAAACCTTTCGCGTTCGGCATTCTTTTATTATGCTAACAACACTGTATATATATGCTTTTAATCCATGATTTGGAAGATAAATTTTGTTTCTCAACTATAAAGTAACTTTGGAGCAGCTAAAATTGATCTACATATGTAACCTCTAAGTATAGACACTTATATTTGTGATTTAAAAAATTCATTTTCAAGAAATTCGATGATTTTTCCCGCTAAAATTTAAATGATCGGCGCAACAGTATATTAATTTATACAAGATTAATAATGAAATTTTTTTTTTTTTTTTTTACAAAAAAAAACAAACGAAACAAAAACCTTGCATTCATTTCCTCACCTCCCAAGTGCTAAAAAGTTCAACTTTTTTGAACACGAACTTGACAAGGTGTTTTGTCATTTTTGTAGTGGTTTTCCATTCTGGTTATTATATCAACAATATTCGCGAAAATTGGCTTGATCTATTTATGATTCGCTATTCATTTCTATATATCTGAATTCTAATCACACTAAGCTTGATATACAATAAATAGTACTTTAGATTTTTATAAGCATTCCGGCGGCAATGAGCTTATGCTTTTATTATTTATTCGATGTTTATTTTAAATTTGTTTATCAATTTTTACGACAGTTCTTTTTATTGAAAAGTGAAGGTTCTGCTATAAAGTCACAAAAACAAAAAATTAAATTATATTTAAAATTAAATTTTTATTCTAATATTATCAATTTTTAAAGTTTAAAATTTAAATTTCTTTTTAAACTCATCCAAAAATAAAAAAGATAATGTTTATTTTTATGTGATACAAGAATTTTTACGGGAAAAAAATTTTTAATTTCACAATGTAAAGATACGATGAAGGACTATATATTTCTATTCAAAGTGTCCCCGCTCAATAATTGAGTCGAAGCTAATTGACTTTTGCAATATTTATTTTTAGTTATCATTCCGGACTTAACGACGGTCCCAGTTCCCTAGTTTTTATTTTATATAAGATTAATCGTTTCAGATGCAGCGATCGAATAATAAAAATACTTTGATATGTTGGTATGTTGAATAACGCAATCCTTATTTAGTAATATATAGTATTACAATTTTATCATTTTACAATGGAAAAATATAGTTTCAGCTGAAGCAAATAAAATTTTTATCGTAAATTTTTTTTTAATAGAAGATGAATCTTTTAAATTAAGAAAATAAAAATATTTTGAGTTGATATTGGAATAACTCTGACACTTTGCCTCCAAGGTCATGAATCAGGTAGTTAAAGCTTACTCCCGCGCTCTAGAGAAATTAGGCACATAGGTGTGATATAGCCAACCCCTAGACCCACAAAGTTGATAACTACAAATGGAAACACCCAATAGCCGGAACGATTCAACCATCCATGTATAATAGCTGTCCATCGGGGAATCTCAATGGAAAGTTAATCATAACAGAAATTCAATATATTGCACGTTATGGCTAGGAAATCTCACATTATATCCCACCACGAAATACTCAATAATTATTTATTTTCAAAATCTTTTAAATTGTTGACTTCACGTGATTTGATAACAAATTAATTATTGACTGATTTTACATTTTTTTTTTTAACTATAAAATAATATGTTATGTACAGTATATGTGGTTTTTATTTCGAATGTTTTTATAAAGTTGGGAATTCATTAAATAAGACCAAACCGTAAAATTGTCATACAGTACCTTCATGAATACAGTACAGACGAATATTAAGAGTTATATCTTTTGCTCGACAACCCGAGAGAGATGTAAAATTTTTATTTACTGTTGTTTCGGGTTGATATTATACATGGCAATTATATTAAATTAATGACGATAATTAATTAATTTTAAAGTGGACGTTATTTGGATTAGATAATTAAATCTTTAAATTTTACTATTATAGATTTCAATGATGGTTTCTATGTGAGCATCGGTAAAGGATCGCAATAACAAACTATCCACACAATGTATCTGATCTCAGTAAGCATATCGGTAAGTTTTTCAAATCAATTTATCATTTTTATTCATTTCCTTTATTAATGGTTTGTATCTTGTTTTACTTAAATATTCCTTGTTTTTTTTTTAACTTTGCCTTTACCTCATCCATTTTATTATTACTTTTATCTATTTTTCCATCACTATAACTTTATCAAAATCAAATTGATCAAGATACTCAAAACAGATTATATATATATAACTACAACGCTATACCTAAGTAATCACAAAATTTAAACAAGAAAGACGTTCCTCTTACTTCCCAGACCTGACAATAGCAATTCATAATCTCTACTGACATTTTTGAACTCCTTCAAGTGATCGTCAGAATACTGCCGAGAACGGCTTAGGGTGCGATAGCTTGATTCTTTAGCATCAGCCGGAAGTAAATCTGAAGACAGGAATTCTAGAAGAAGTTTGTTAATTGTGAGGACAAAGTATTGCACTAAACATTGAAACTTTTATGAGAAACTTACAAAGTAGAAATAAGATAGTTATTTATTATTAATGAAGCCTTCTAATATTTTATTTTTTTTGCATTAGTACTTGATAAACCACCTTGACCATATTGATTCGTCTCCTTTCTCACAAATATTCTGCGGATATCCTTTATTCGCGAAGAGATATTCTGCTTGACATGTAGAATCGGTCCATTAATAAAGAACATTAGTAGTTTGTTTCCGATGGTATATACATACATAAATATAATTATGATTTATTTACTATAAACTAATAAGTTCGCTTTTTTTAAGTAATGAAGTTACTTCAGCGAAAAAGAAACAATGTATCATGATGTTTTGTCCCTTTGAGATATACTATAATTAAATTCCTTCTATAGAAATTGGAAGCCCAGTAAGTAAGAACGGAATATTATATATCTATATATTTTTAAATTTCATATAATAGTTCCTAAATATTTTCGGTTCATAAATACTTTGGCATTTGTCTATTCATCGTAGGATCACAATCAGAACTTTTAAATTGTTTTCCGAAGTAATTATACATTATTAACGGAAAGAAAGTTCGTTAATGCTGTCAATGGTTGGACTACTACTTTAACAAGTTCTTTAATGTATATGGCTTCTTTGTGCTAATCTTGAGAAGATTCAAAGAAAGTAATGACATGACTAGAGACGATTTGATCTCCTAACAACTTGAGTCCAAGTGAAAATAGTTAGCGTTGTAGACATTACATTGATGTAATGTAAACTTTTGGAATTGGTAAAAGAATAAGAGTGGGTACAGGAACACGACGATGAGGTTATAATTTTTATTTAAAACTTTTATTGCATTAATGATTCTAATATTTACCCGCATGCAATATCTTTTCGACTAGTCTGATGAAAATTACTTTTGATTATAATTACTTGGATAGGTAAACTCAATTATTGAGTACAATATTTGCTAATAATATCAATCGTCATCGCAGAAAAGTTTAACGTAAAATGATATTTTAAAGGTAATATTTTTATTTTGATGAATATAAACTGAATTAATAATATGTGATTTATTGATATTTTAATAATAGGAGGGTAATCGATTTCAAGAGAAGATTATATTCAAGAAAAATTCCAATGATTGTACATGAGCTAAAATCGTTGATCCTTTCGTGATTTTCTTGCAGAAAGTTTGCATGCACAAGAACTCTCGTTCACGTACTTGACAGTAAACCAAGGATTAAGCTATTTCAATTGCAAGCAAGAAAGCAAAAAGTAAATCACAGAGAATAATGAACAAAGGTGAGAGGACGTTTTTAGAAAAATTTTCAAATGTATATATGTTCCTTAACATTAATCTTTTGGAAAGCTATATAAAGAGAACATAAATTCAAAAACTCTAATAGATGTATAATTAAAGATTTTGAAGTTTTTTTTGAACATACTTTATAATGATTTGATTATTCCAAGTAATCAAAAATATCTTTTTTCAATTTTTATTTTTAATAATCAAATTTATTTAATTTGTTGGATCCTTTATGCTTTTTTCATTTGTCCTTTTTTTTTGGATTTTACTGAGTTTTGTTATTTATCTTTTCGATAGATCCGTTTATTTTCATAATTAATGTTTGATAATGGAAAAACTCTGAATTCCACAATTCCACATGAATAAATACAGAAGAATCCTTTAGTAAAAAAAAAAAATGAAATTCAGTTAGTTGATTTAATTTTAATATAAAAGCTACTAACGCATAAACAAAAAATTACCTCAAGTAAAAATTCTGTCAATTCCAAATCGATTTGTGAAGAAATTCAACTGAATTATCTAAAAAATTTAAAGGCAACGAACTGGTTTATCATACCGGTATGGAATTTTCAATTTCAAATCCAATACCGGTATTGAATATTTATATATTTAGTTAGATTATAATTTCGTCGTCAGATAAAGTTTCAATATCTTAGGATTTGCTTTGAACAGAATGACAATAATTAAAAACTCAAAGAAATATAATAATCGCTCTGGTAGTGGTTTTGATTTATACATTATATTATAAATGAGTAAAATCAGGTGTAAAGTTTAAGAAAAATTTATAAAATAGCAACTTAATTTATTAATGTAATAATAGCAAAATATTAATTAAAATTTTTGCATTTATATAAAATATATTAATCAAATTAGAAATTTACAAAACTTTATTATTCGGTTAATTTCTTTTTAATACATAAAATTTGAACAGTATACAGTTGTTTATTTTTGATGCAAAGCATGCATTCGTTTATGAATTTAGATTTATGTAACACAAATTTTATTTATTGATAACGCGGCGGCATTCGCTTAATAAAATCGCATCTTCTTTTTATAAATATATATCAAAAGAATGAATTCTCGATTTCGTGATTTATAAGCTTGAGCACTTTAATTAAAGTTATATATTTACATATACCAACTGTTAAACTTTACAAAAGTTTTTTCGGATGAACAACCAAAACGAACTCGTCATATCATGGTGAAATATAAATAGTACAGATTAATTAATAAGGCTTGTCATCATCATGTTTCGAGCATATTTCTTTATAATGACGGTAAGTTTAAAGACATTTGAGTCACATAAAGTCTTACTCCGTGTATGATGTTAAACACTACGTCGTTAGGATAACAAAGCTTATTTGCTAGCAAGGAGTTTAAGTTATAAACTATGAAAGAAATAAACACGAATTTAATTATATTGAAGGGTCAGGTCGTCTTTATTGATGATTTATGTTTAAGGAAAAGATATTAGCAAAGATATGAGTTTT